CGCTGTGCGGCGCCTGCAAGTTCAACGGCATCGACGCCACCGCCGCAACCACCTTCTACGTCTGCTCCCACCAGCCCTGAGCAGGCCCTGGTTGCCCGGCCGGCCACGGCCGCGCCCCAGCGCAGCTGCCCGCCCGGCAGCAGCCGGCAGATGCCGCAGTGCAGCAGCGGGCAGCAGCTCAGCTTCAAGGCGCACACATTGACCTCATCGCCACTCGCCGACCGTGGGCCCCTCCTCCACACCCCACACTTGCTATGACACCGTCCGCCCAGCAGCCAGAAGGCCGCTCCGCCGCCACCGCCAGCTGTGCGGCCTGAAGGCCGCCCGACCCCAAGCAACCGCCAGCCCCCCCGCCGCCCTCCCTAGCCACCTGAACATCAAGCTCAGCTCGCCACCAAAACATTAGCCTGGCGCCAACCATCTACGACCAACCCCAAGCAACCCTGCAGCAACGCTGCGGGCAGCACAGCGCCGCTGCCCTCTTACCCGACGGCCCGGAGCGTGGAGTTGTGCGGGCCGCTGCACGCCCAGCCGCCGTCGAGGGCGCCGCTGGCGCATGGGAGAGTCTGGCCGCGATCGCCTGCGGGGGCGACACTGCGCCGCTCCCACCCGCCGCCCCTCCTCCGCCACCTCCCCTGCCGCCTCCCCAACCCCAGCCGCCACGCCCGCGCCCTGCCTGCCGCGGCGTGGCCGGCGCTAGTGCCACAGCCAGTACGGCTGCATGCCGACGCCATAGCCCTCGCCCGCCCGCGCGTGGCAGCCGCGCCAGCTGCCGCTGCCGCTTGCAGCTGCCGCCGCTGCGGGGCAGGCGAGGCCCCTTTCCCCTCTCTTGGGGGGCGCGCCCCTTGCGCCCTCCTGCTGCTCAGGGCTTTGATGCCTTCCTGGGCCCCTAGAAGGTGCCCCCTGAGATGCGCCACCCTCGCTGACCGCCAACCGGCGGCGGCGCCCTCCTCTTGATAACGTAAGCCGTGCGCGCCGCCGCGGCGCCACCCCCCTGTCCCCGGCTCTGGCTCCCCAGTTTTCCCTGCGTGGCGCCTCCTTTTCCTTGCACTCCTGCCTCCCTCCCTTTCATTCCCTCACTCCCCAGCTCCTACCCGTCTACCCTTCAGCACTGTGTCCCTGCCTTTCCCTCCAAAGAGCACCGGCTGCTTGCTGCGCACGCGGCGTCTCACAAGGCGACAGACACACCCCCCTCTGGCGGGCGGGGCACCTTCACCTGCTGGTGCCCCAGCACACCCCTCTCCCAAGACGATCATTCGTGTGTGTGCATCACCAGAGCTGCACCACACCAAAGCTGCACCACACCCCTGCAGTGCCCCACCTCTTGGGGGGCCTGCCACCTGAAGGGCTGCTGCTCCTTCCTTTTGATGGCACGCGCGCACTCGTTCTCTCTGGCTTTGGGGGCCGTTGAGAATCATCCAACTCTAGGCTAGTCTCTGCTTCTGCTCGTCGCTCTCCTCGCTCACTCGCTGGCATTTCCGTTTTCCTTGCATGCCTGTGCTGTCCAATTCGATTGTGAGACACTGATTCCGTTAGTTAGAGAGTGGGGGTGGTGGGGCCACCAAGCACATGTTGTAACAACCATGTGGCAATGGAAATAGTCGCATAAAGGCAGCGGGGAATAAATAGTGGTGGCGTGTCACAAGCCCACAGGGCCGCACCATCAGCCGCTTGGCGGCACCTGGTGCTGCGCCAGGCATGCTTCAAAGCGGAGCACCTGCAGGGCAGGCAGGGAGAAGCGCCCGTGGGCGGGCAGCTGCCTGTTGCAGGCGTGCACGTGACGTCACCACGGTAGAGGTCAGGACGCCTTCCCCCACTCCCCACCTGCTGGTGGCACTTGGGCGGTATGACAGGCGGGACTGCAAGGCGCGTGCGGCTGCTGGTGGCGCCGGCGCAGGCCTCCAGCGCATCAACTGCAGCAGGAGCGCATCCGTCGGTGCATGGTGCATGGTGGAGGTGGAAGCTGGAGCGGGTAAAGGCGGCAGGCAGCTGGCACTGGCTGGTCTGCCAACCGGCTGGTATGCCACCCCCGCACCTTCCGCAGGGCAGGCCTGCTTGAAGAGGCACCATCCCGCTGCAGCAGAGGTGAAGGCCAGGGCCGGCAACAGCTTAAGAACCACCAGAGTGTCACCAACCATGCGCCTCCGCCGGCGAAGCGAGGCAGATGGACACCGTGTGTGTTCTGGCCCCACCTGCGCGCTGCAAGTGCTGACACACGTAGGGTTCTCGTGGGTGCTTCTTCTGGCAGCCTGCAAGCGCCTCCAGCACCCTGATGCACGTGGAGGGCAGAGCCTTGGGGGAAGGCGGTGGCGCGGGGCGGGTGGCGGGCTCGTCACGCTGTGTGGAGGCTACGGCGCTCGGCGGCGTGGCGGCTTGAATCGGAGTTCCACTAGTTGAGGGCAGCGACTCTTGAGGTGTCTCTTGGCTGGTTGCCAGGCCGGACGAGGCGGCCGGAAACTCCATCGCAGGCTGGTGAGCACCAGGAGGGGAAGAACCACCCCCAAAGAATACAGTAGATACCAGGTAGAGACACTGGATCGGTAGTCCATGTGTTCCCTGGCATGTGTGGCCGCCCACCGCGCCAGCGTGCCCCAGCGTGGCGCCTCCCAACCGTTGTTAGCTTTGGCAAGCATTACAGCAATGCAACAGCAGCCGAAAGCAAGCGATCATGCCGTCAAGCCCCGAGGCCGCAGCACAAACCGCTCTATCGCCCTGGCCACTCCATCCTCGCTGTTCGGCGCCGTGATGGCATCCGCCGCCGCCAGCGCCGGCGGCCCCGCATTGCCCATCGCCACACCCAGCCCGCACAGGCGCAGCATCTCAACGTCGTTCTCGCCGTCTCCCAAGGCCAGGCAGGCAGCCGGGTCCACTCCCAGCCTGTCCAGCAGCCAGCCCACGCCAAATCCCTTGGACGCACCCAGCGGCAGCACCTACAGGTGGTGGGTGGGGTGGTGGGGGCGATGGCAGACCGAGCCTGGTGCTGGCAGCATGCACCCAGCAGCCAAACACACAGGAACATGCATGCTGACGCCCCGCATCACAGCACACACACATCTCTGACCTCGAGCATGCCAGGGATGGCAGTTGTCAGGGAGGCGCGCCCTTCAAACAGGCTCTCCACCCGCGGCCGCACCTCTGCTATCCTCTGCTCCGACTGCAGCCCAGGGCAGGGCGGCAGGCAAGGACGAAAAAGCGCTGTGAGCAGGCAGAGGTTGGCAGCCTAACAGCGTTTCTTTCTTAAACACGTTTCTTTCTTAAACAAGAAGGCCAACCACTCACCTCCATGAAGATCAGCTTCATGATGGGCAGCCGGCCCACATGCGGCTCCAGAGGCCCTGCGGCCAGCCAAGCGCAAGCGTAACCAACACAACAGACAGCTTGGGCCCAGTGTGGGCGGCGGGGAGGCCAGCAGGCTGTGAGGCAGGTGGCGGGCGCTGGAGCCGCCCTGCTGCGGGCCTGAGGCCTCCCCAACCCCATGCATGGCGCACCTATCCCCTCCGGCGACGGCTCTGCGTAGTAAAGTAGCCTGTCGCTCTGATCATTCGTCTCCCGGCATACGATCCGGTCCCCGCAGTATGCTGCACACGCACGCAGACGTGGCGGGGCGGGCCACGGCGTTGGCGGCACAGGCACGGCCGGCACCCTGCGGCGGGCGTGCGGTGCGTGCCCACCGGCCGCTCCCCTGCAGCACCTCCACCTCCTCGTCCTACTGCATGGCAGCCGCATGCTTAAAGGCCCACCTGTGAGGGTGAGGCCGTGGCAGTCGGCAAACTCAACGGCCTCCAGAATGACCGCCTCCTCCAGCAGCCGCTTGTACAGGATGCCCTCGTCGTAGCAGCTAATGAGCAGGCCCTGCAGGTAGATCTGCAGGGTGAAGAAGCAGGCAAGACAAGGAACGGGAGATGAGCAGGAGGGGGTGCCGCGGCGTGGGCCGGCCGCCAGCGTGCGGCAATGGCAGGGTCAGGGCAGCAGTGGGACTGCTGGCAGCCAGGCTGGAAGGCATTGTGCTGCTGCTGGGATGCCCTGCAGCACCGCCTTCTGGGTTCACCTGCGGCAGGCGGGACCCTAGCCTGGGCAGCACCGAGTCGCGCCAGGGCCCCATCGCCTTGCCCGTCGCCACCACGAGCGGCACGCCTGCCTCCGCCGCCGCCACCACCGCGGCTTCCACGCCGGGCGTCAGCTGCTGCTGCGGGTTGAGCAGCGTGCCGTCCACATCCGACACGATCAGCTCGATTCGCTGCCGCCCGCTGGCAAACTCTTCTGCTGCCCGTGAGGCGGCTGGCGGGGGCAGCCGCCGTCGGGGATGGCGCTGCGTGCCGCTGACGGCGCCCTGGAGCAATGGCGGCAGCGGCAGAGGCGGCAGCAGGATGGTCGGGCAGGAGCAAGAGGCTCGTCAAAGGGAGCGCTTTCTGGCGGCGGAGGCGGACGGGGGTGGCGGGGCACTGCAGCTGCGATGCTGCGATCGATCGGCTGGCGGATCAGGCATCAGGTGTGGCAGCCTTACCACTCCTGCAGAGCTCAAAGCCAGGCGGCCTGGCGCATGTGCCGCCATGGCGATGATAAACTGGGAGGGTCAGCAGGGCTCTACAGGGCCTCCCAGAGGTTGCTAGAATGGGTCGAAACCTCCGTGGAGCTCCACGAGTTTGTTGAGACCTTCCTCTTGGATGCGTACTGCAGGTTCAGGTGGGTGATGCGTGTTTGCGTGAGCCTCGTCCCAGCAAAATCAACCTCTGCACGTTGCCCAGCCTGATTGCAAAGCGTTTGCCGCCTTTCAACGCCCCTCCTATTTGCTTGCACGGGCACTTGCTGTGAGAGCCAGCCGCTCCATTGGCCTCCCATCACCTACCCAGCCCTACAAACACTCCCCCAGACATCATGGAGGCTCGCTTTGAAGGCCTGCAGCTCGGTCAGCCCGCCCTGGAAGGGTCAGCGTTCGAAGGAAGCAGCCCGGTGAGTGTAACCCCGCCCCCGCACCTTGGTTAGCCCTGATGTGTAGGCTGCATGCGCCCGCCGCCGCAATGCGGGCCATGCCGGCCATCCAGCATTGTTCTTGCTGCTGGCACACGCCTTCACCAACCGCGTGCCACCCGTCCCGTCACCCCTGCAGAGCCGCCCGGCCGCGAGCAGCAGCATCGCCTCGCAGCGCGGCAGCCAGGGCACCTCGGCCGCCACCAGCGGCGGCGGCGAGCGCCCGCGCGCCGGCAAGGGCAGCCGCGGCCCCAGGTGACCCCCGGGGCGCCTCGCCTCACCCTCTGCGCGCTGCCACACCCCTGCTACAACCCTCTGCTGCCGCTGTGTTACTTCCGCTGACCCCCATGTTGGATCCTCCTCCCCTCCCTGCCTCTGCACAACCGCAGGCCCCGCCTCTTCAAGAAGGGGGAGTGCCAGGCGGACGGGTGCCGCGCAGACCTGAGCGCCCTGCCTCGCTACAACGTGCGCAACCACATCTGCCTGGAGCACAAGGCGGCAGAGGCCTTCCTCAAGCAGGTGCGCCCCGCTGCCGCAGCGCCACCAGCAGACGCGGCTGGTGCCTGGAGACTGCTTGCGGGCACCCAGCACCTGCCCTGGGTGCCGTGCCTCTCACAGCCCCCACCTCCCCCTCTCCTCTCCCCGCCGCAGGGCGCCGAGGTGCGCTTCTGCCAGCGCTGCGGTGTGGCACACCCGCTGGGCGAGTATGACGGACTGAAGAGGAGCTGCAGGCGCATGCTGGCCCTGCACAACAGCCGGCGGCGCAAGAGCGGCGCCCCCGAGGCCGCGCCGGCGCCGGCAGCGCCCGTCCCGGCGTCGCCGCCCGCGGCGCAGCAGCAGGAGCAGCAGCAGCGGGAGCAGGAGAGGGAGCGCCCCGCGGCGGCGCAGCTGCTGCCGGCGCTGGCCGGCATGCAGCTGGGCGGCGGCGGCGGCCTGATGCTGGCTGCCGACCCCTCCCCAGCAGCCTCTGTGGGCTCTGCAGGGCCGTCCCAGAACAGCGGCAGCTGGCTGCTGACAGACGGTAGCAGCGGGTTTGGCGGCAGCCGCCTGTCAGAGGGCGCGGTACCGCTGCCTGACCCGCCGCCGCCGTACTGGGAGGAGGGGCCGCAGCGGGCGGCGCCGCGCCCGAGCGCCGCCGCCGCTGGCGCCTGCCACGAGCGGGTTTGTTGTGACACAGCCTGTGGCGCCTGCGCCGCCTGTTGCGGCGGCGCTCGCGCAACCGCCGACGAGGATGGCGCACCCGCCGCTGGCGCCGCCGCCGCCGCCGCCGCCACCGGAGGAGGAGGAGCCCTGGTGGGCTGCGCTGTTGCTGGAGCGGGAGCCAGAGTGGTGGGAGGTGGAGCCCACCCAGCTGGATCTGGATCTGGACTTGCTGCTGGCTCCGATGGAGGTGCAGCAGGAGGTCGCGGCGCCCACGCTGTGGCCAAATCCTCCTCCTCCTCCGCCCCACCACCAGATGCGGATGATACCGCTGACAGCGGCGCCCGCCGCGCTGGCGTGAGCGGCGCCGCCGCCGAGCGGCCGCCGGCGCCCGCGCCAGCCGCGGAGCGCGCCGAGGCGGCGGCGGCGCTGGGTCGGCTGCGCCGCCACGACGCCGCGCTGTACCAGCTGTTTGTGCACCAGCAGCTGCTGGGGGCAAAGGCGCTGCTGGCCACGGCGGGCCTGGTGCTGAGCAGGCGGCTGCCGCCGGCGCAGCCCAGCAGCGGCTCATTTGTGTCTGCCCGCTGAGCTCCCTCCCAACAGTGCACAGTACTTTTCTGAATACACCCGCCTGAGCCCCTGCCTCTGCTTTCTTGTCGCTGGCACGTTTCTTGCTTGCTGCTCCTTGCATCGTGTTGCTTGTTCCTCCCTCAAGCCCACACCCATCCTGCCTTTTTTCCTGCGTCCGTCTCGGGCTCTAGCACTGGCTGCCTTGGCTGCTGGGTGCCTCGCCCCCTTCCTCCTTTTGCATCTCAACCCTGGCTGGAACGCCTGCTTATGTAACCGCCACCTGTGCACGCTGCCAGCCTGCGACCTGGCAGCTGAGAGCGGTTTGGGCCTGAAGTTACAGGGTGTGAGGGCAGCGTGGGGTGGCTACAATGAAAGCGCAGGGCGCGCCCAGGGCTGACACACACGGCAGTGATGGGGGAGCAGTGTTGCACAGGAGGAGGGCCAGGCCGCGGGGGGGGGCTGCGCCACGTGGGCGGCGCGCCACGCCCGCGCCAGGGCGAGCAAGTGAGGCGAGGGAGCGGGGACAAGTGGTGCGCCGTGGGGCCGCACCCGGCCGGCAACCTCTCCCTCCCGAGGAGGTCGGGGCGGCTCAGAAATGGTTGTGACAGGGGGGCAAAAACGCTGGAGAGGCAGGTGCAGGTGGTGGTGCTAGAAAGGGGTAGACGGCGAGTTGGAGTGTGTTTTTTGTTCTTCTCGGGGGGAGGGGGGCAGCGAGGGACGGGTGCGAGGCAAGACACGGAGCGGGCGGGGACGGAGCAGCGCGGCGCAACCGGGGAGCGAGCGAGACGGCGCGGCGCAGGCGGCGGCGGCAAGGGCGGGCGCGCGCCGCGCGGCGGCGCTGCAAACAAGGTGCGGCAGGGTGGCAAGGCACGGGCGGCATGCCGCGGCGGGGGAGAAGGAGCAGGAGCAAGGGCCTGGGCCAGGGCAGCCTCGGGGGTGGGCAGCCCTCAGGCAAAGCGGTCGATGCGAACAGACACCACCCGGCCGCCGATGGTGGTGTTGTTCATCGTGTTGACCGCCGTCTCCGCCATCTCCTTTGTGGGGAACCGCACAATGCCAAAGCCTCTGCAGGTGGAGGGAGGGAGGGCAGGCAGGCGGGCGGGTGAGGCGTGCAAGCTCAGCCACCAGCGCTGAGAGGGGGGAACGGCCGGCCAGCTGCTGCTGCTGCTGCGTGGCCGTGGCAGCCTGCCGGGAGGCGGGAGCTGGCAGCCTCATCTCATCAGCAAGGCGAGAGCGGGCCCGGCTGGGGCCCAGCCGCGCGCCTGCCGCCGCACTCACCGCGAGCGCCCCCTGCTGTCAAACACTACGTCTGCGCGCTCGATGTCGCCGCAGGGCGTGAATGCGTCCTTCAGCTGCTGCCACGTGCAGTCCCAAGGTAAGTTGTGGACCACGACCTGCGCAGCAGGCACAGCACAGCACAGCACAGCATGCAGCCAGGTCAGCAGGGCCATCCCGCGGCAACAGCAGGCTGGGCTCAGCCGGCAGCGCTGCCGATGTCGCTGGGCTGTGGCGCGCGATTGGGCTGGCGCGGCCTGCCTGCTGCAGCGGATGGCCTCAAAACACAACCAGCTGCCACCTGCGCAGCACTGCCTGCCGTCGTCTGCCTGCCGCACAGCCACACGCGCCCAGCTGCTCCCAACATGCTCGCGCGGCTGCTGCGGTGAAGCTGCAGCTGCAGCTGCCGCAGCTGCTGCCGGCCCGCTGCTCCCTTCGTGCACCCCACGGCGCGGCCGCAACCCTGCGCACCTGCAATCCACTGCTAAACCCCGGCTGGCCGGGGGGTGGCGGCCGCGCGCCCGCCCAGTTCTTTCCTCCCGGAAAGAAGCCGCCACGTCCGCGCGGGAACATGGCGGGCGGCGCCGTGGCTGCTGCTGCTGCGTAGTAGGCGCCGGGGCCCATGGGGCTGTAGTAGCCCATGTAAGCCTCCGGCCCCCAGTATGCGCCCCGTCCGGCGCCGCCGCGGCCCCCGGCCGCATACGGGCCATACGGGCCTGCTGCTGCTGCTGCTGCGTATGCTGGGTCGTAGCCGCGACCCCCGCCCCGCCCGCCGCCGTAGCCCGGCCGGACCATGGGCGGCGGTTGGAGGCTCCCCTGCACAGCGGCGGCGGCGAGGGAGCGGCAAGCAGCGAGCCAGGCAGTCAGCGAGCGGCCTGCAGCCCGCATGCCCGCAGCCCGCACGGCGATGACCATTGCTTGTCGAGAGACATGCTGCATCACCAGGCTGCCCATGGCGCTGCCAGAATGCTGCTGCTGCTGCGCTGCCGCGGCCGCCTGGGCATGCTGTCCAGCCACAGCTGCTGAGGCGATGCCACTGCACAGCTGCGGGGCATCAGGCCTGCGCCCATGCAGCGAGGAGACGCGCCTGCGGCGGCGCTCCATCAGGCCCCGTCACACGGAAGGCCTTCTTCTTGCCGTCATCCGCGACAACTAGGTCAAACTCGACTTCCTCGCCTTCTTTCAGGCTGCGATAGCCGGTCGTCTCTATGTTGCTCTGCAGGAGGCAGCAGCGTGGCGCCAGCAAGTTGGTTGGGCAGGCCGCCGCCACGCGTGCAGGGCGCTGGCGGCCGGCGCCGCGGCTTCCGCCGGGGCCTGCCCACGCCCGGGGCGCACCTGGTGGACAAAGACCTCATCCTCCGACTCCTCGCAGGTGATGAACCCGTAGCCTGCAGCTCAGGGGGCCGGGGCAACGTGTGGGCACCCAATGCTGGGCATTGAGTGCGACTGCTCTGCTGGGGCCCCAGCGCGCCCCTGGACCCACCCTTGGTGCTGTTGAACCACTTGACCGTGCCAATTTTGCGCTCGGTCGCCTGCACAGCAAGGCAGGACGCGTTCGGCGACCAGCAGGAGGAGCTGCAGGCTGCTCCTGGCGCCCCCTTGTCCAGCGATCGCTGCACCCCCGGCACCTGTGGCTCCTCAGGCTCCCCCATTAGGCGCCCCGGCAGCAGGCTGGGCCGCCTGCGGTGGTGACTGTCGCTGCTGGTGGCGGGCCGGCAGCTCCAGCAGCCATGCCCTCGCTGGACAGGCCTGGATTCCGGGCTTGGGGCGGGGAGACAGCACAAGGGCGGCTGGGGGGAGAGGCGGTCTCATCCTCGCCGATGGGGCGCGGATTCTGTTTCATCCAGAGCGTTTCATTCAGAGCATGGATGGACTTTTGCATGCCAGCGCCCAGCGATCCAATTGCCATGTCCTCTGGAAGCTGTGCCTTGCTTGTAGGCCCAGGGCCCAAGCCCCACCCCACATGCCTGGCCGACATGCGGCCAAAGTCAAACTCTGCCGGCAGCTGCAGTGCTTGGGCTGCCTGGCCCTCGATTCCTGATGATCACAGGGCGGCATTTCCAGCCTGCCTGCTGTCCAGCAGCAGACCGCTCGCCCACCATGGTGCAGTGCATCGCGTGATAGTCCCCGTTGGCCACGCTCACTTGCCTGGCGGCAAGGCTCGGCGAATGCATATGCATAGACTCGATTGATCACAGTGGGCAGATCGCCCGGTGTGCCGCAGTACCAGAGGCGGCTGTGCTACTGCGCTCGCCCACCATGGTGCAGTGCATCGCGTGATAGTCCCCGTTGGCCACGCTCACTTGCCTGGCGGCAAGGCTCGGCGAATGCATATGCATAGACTCGATTGATCACAGTGGGCAGATCGCCCGGTGTGCCGCAGTACCAGAGGCGGCTGTGCTACTGCGCTCCACCCCCCGTCCATCCCCCACAGGCATCGCCTCTCGCCAAAAGCCAGGAAGGCGCAGTTGTTTATTCTGATCATCCACAGACGCAAGGAGTGGGTCAGGAACAGTTGGAAAGCGAAGGAAACTAGAGAGCAGTGCTGGAAGGGGCAGACCATGAAATGTCGGTGTACGAAGGCGAGCGGATGGCGAGAGGCACGCCTGGTCACGTGACCCGCTGCTTTGGCTGCATCGCCACCACCGTCGGCACGGAGGGCGGCCGGCCTTCCCTGGGCGTCGGGCTGTCCTCCCTGCGCTCACAAGGCAAGGCAGCAGGAGCATGCTGTCAGCATAGACAGGTGTACCGCCGAGCAAAATATGCTGTCAGCGTGCATGCTCCGGTGTTGATGGCAAGCTGTGCGACCAACCTGCGCCAAGCCATAACAAGCCTCATGCAGGCAGGCAGGCAGTGCCAGCCGTGGCACTGCATCTGGTCACCCTCCCTCACACCAGCACCACACACACACAAACACACCTGTGCGACTCATATCCTGAATCCGGGGGTGGCGCCGCCATGACTGCGATGCTGCGCGGCCGCGGGTGCCGCACGCTGCTGCCGGTGGCGCCGTGCTGCTCGTCGGCTGCTGCCGCCGCGGCCGCTGCCGACAGGTTGGGCGTGCTGGCGCCGCCGCCCTTGAGCTCGGCCTGCGTGCGGCTGCCTGACCGGCTGTGCCCGGCCGACGCGCGGCCCTGCTGCACCACAGGCAGCAGCGGCGGCAGCAGCGGCTGCTTGGTCACCTGCGGCAGGGGCACCAGGCAGGCAGCAAGGGTGGCTGGGTAAGCAGGGGGCGGATGGGAGGCGGGCCACTCTCGAAGCTGCGGAAGCAAGCAACTGGCCGCCAGGCAGCCAGGCAGGCCAGCCCAGCCCACTCACGTCCATCTTGCCGCCCTCCTCGCCGCTCTCAATGTCCCCAACCGCTTGCATCTCCACCTCCTCCTCCCCAATCAGCGGCCGGTGCGGCCTGCAGAGCCAGATCGCCGTTGAGCACCAGGGCCACACTCCAACCAGAACACGGCAGCGGGCCATCCGTGGTGTGCCAGCAGCATGCCCGGCGCATGTCCGCGGGTGACCAGGCCCGAGACAGCCCCTGCACGCCCGGCGGCTCCCCCTCCACGCACCAGTAGTCCTGCACGGGGCGCTTGGTGGTCCAGCGGCGGTGCAGGGTGTAGAAGACGAGGGGCACGGTGTAGAAGGCCACCACCACATCCACAGAGTAGTGCTTGCGGCTGGCCACGATGCACAGGCCCATGAACACCACCCCAATCCAGGAGATGATCTGCGGCACGCAGCAGGCGGCGGGGCAGGGGAGGAGGCGGCTCAGGCCCCGCTGCAACGTGTGGCGCCCCGCTCAGCACATGGGCAGCACACACACCCAAACATCAGGCCGACGGCTCGGGCTGCGCTGCGCCGTGCCCCGCACCACCAGCCCCGCCCCGCCCCGGCCAGCGCCGCACCTTGATGATCAGCGTCTGCCCGTACTCTGTGTAGGTCAGCACGCCCGTCAGCACAAAGGTGGTGTGGGAGGAGAAGATGAGGTCGCCGCAGCCGTGGGTGGCCTGCAGGCGGCATGAGGAACCGGCATGCGGTCGGGTGGCGCAGGCCAGGGAGGAGAAGGGGCGCCCCCCTCGCACCGCGGCTCCGCCCCCTGCCTGCCTGCCTGGCGAGCGCTTGCACGCCATCTGTTGCTGCAGCCCTGCTGGAGCCCTGCATCCCTCATCCAATCCACGCCAGGTGAAGTGACGTGCGTGCACCATGCCCACCTGCCGCCCCACGTCAACCACCACGTGGCCCCACCAGTGCTCCGGCATCTCCCGCACCGCCGTGTCACGGCCCAGCCGGCAGTGGTAGTTGGGGGCGGGCAGCTGGGTGACTGTGAAGGAGATGATGCGCAGGATCTGGCAGGCTGCAGGCGGCCGGGGTGGGAGCGGAGCTTACGGGGGGTGGAAAAGAAAGTTCAAGGCAGCTGAGCGGCAGGGGCGTCGCTCGCTGGCGCGCTGGCAGCTCAGCGGCGGGGCGGGCGCTGGAGCACGCTGCGGAGGCTGCTGCTGCATGGCACAGCAGGCACGGCACGGCAGGCTGCGGCAGCACCCAGCGCCGACTCACTGACGAGCACCATGAGCAGGCGGGCGTAGAGCACGGCTGTGTAGAAGCGCTTGCGGGCGGTGACAAAGGGGGAGAAGCTCCAGAAGATGAAGGGGATGAACAGGCACCAGAAGATGGTCTCACTCACCCACGCATTCTCCAGGCCCAGCTCCTGCGGGGTCAACGGGCGGCAGGGCACTCGGCGCTTGCAGCACGCCACTGTCTGTGTCCCCTGCTGTTCCTTCTCCTGCCTCCCCTGCCCGTCTACTACAGCACGCTGCTGGCTCCCGGATGGCTGCTGCTGCACTTGCCGCGCCCCTGCGTGCCGGATCCGTCAGCAAGCGCACCGGCATGAGGCGGAAGCCCAGGTCGCCCAGCGGCTCCTCCTGAGGCTGGTGCATGCGGTGCGCCAGCTGCGTGAAGATGCCGTGCACGTACTGGAAGAGGGCGCCAAACAGCACCTGCTTCCACCGCGCAATGAGCAGCGGCAGCTGCAGCAGGGGGTGGGCAAGCGGGGCGGTAGGCGTGAGCGGCGGGTGGCGGCGGGTGGGGTGGCAAACCCGGCTGGCCCGGCCTGCCCGGCCTGAATTCGCGTCTTGGCAACCGTGAAAGCAATACACAGGCAAACAGCAGCAGGGCCGCTGCTGCCCGCTCCAACTAGCTGTTTGAGCCGCAGGCACCTCAATGGTGAATTCCAGCTTGATGCGACGCCATAACTCGCACAGCCGGTCTTTCAGAGTGACGCTACAGGGCGAACACCGGCCGCACCAGGAGAGCTCCAGTCCCATGCTTGCTGGTCCACTCCTGCTCGGGCTGTGCGCAGCAGTGAGTTCCTAGGGGACCATGTGGTGCAAAAAGGGGTCGATAACCGCTTGCTGCTTTTGGGGAGTCGACACTTGACCTTCGCAAAAAGGACTCACAGCGCGACAGCAGCTCAATTATGCTACGGAGCAGGAGAAACTGCTGCCGGATGTAAAGCTGTCGCCCCGATTAGGGTAAACGCGGCTTTGGTGAGCCACAGCGCGCTCGCCGCGCCGCGTCGGCTTCTGCCCTCCACACACGCTGGAAGCCCATGTAAAGTTTAACATTAACACACTAGCATTCCCTGTCGCACCACACACTAGCATTGCCGGCAATGCCCCTGCTGATCTCTGTCCTGGTGGTCGGCCCCGTTTACACGCCGGGCGGGGTTGGAGCGGATGCCGCCAAGGGGTGCCGACAAGATGGCGGGGGTGAAGAAGAGAAGAGTGAACGTGCTGCAGTCCAGACCACACAGACAAGACATTAAAACAAAACTTGCAGTGCTGGCGGCCGAGGGGGCGCGCCGGCCCAACCCGGCCGCGGCCAGGGAACCTGAAAGGAGTGGGGAGTGGGCCACAGCCCCGCCCCTGCAGCCACACTAGGGAGGAGGGAAGGTGGTTGCTGGCGTGCGGCGGGCGGTGGTAAGGACGGCTGCGCCTTCAGGCAGCCAAGTCACGCCGCGGGTCGCCACAGAGGTGCTACTAACTGTTACTTGTTCTTCTTGTGCTGCTGGGATGGCACCGCGGCCTGGCTGGAGCGAACCCTAAACCAGCCTGCCCAGCTGCTGCTGCGCCATGGGAGCCTGCCGTGAACCCGCTGCCTGCGCAGGGCAGCCTGGAGGGGCGGCTGCCTTGGGTGATCAGGACATGGGCGCGGCTGTGCCCGCCTTGGATGCAAGGATGATACCCACTGCAGGCAGGAAGGAGCCCCGGGGGGGGGGGGGGGGGGGGGGGGTT